TTGTCACTTCCACACGGCGGTGAGGAGTTAACTGGAAAGCCACTCATTAGASCGTGCTCTAATTTAAAGGCAGGATTTTTAGAGTGGCTGGCTGCCTCTGCACATCCACTGAGCAGGAAGGGGTTAAAAGGGTTGTTYACACTTTTATTATGAAATTATTGTATTTTTCATTGTAAATAAACACATATTACTGTATCTGATTAAGATAAGAAAAGGAAAATCAACCTTGGTTTCTGTCTTTATGCAACAGTAAGGTTGTTGTTGTGTTTTTGACTGTTAAGATGGTTTTGCATGAAAAACAGTTTCGTTTTCTAAAGATCAAAACTGAAACTTGGGGGTTTCTAGCTGCTACAGAAAAAAGCAAGAGGAAAAGTTGGTAAAAGGTTAAATTCTTACAGTTAAATCATGGCCGCGAAAAGAAGCTAATATCTCCAAAACTAAAAGCTAAAATGAACAAAACTGAGCRAACYCAAAGCTAGATGCTAAAGTTTGTAAAACTGAACTAAAAGCTAAAATCGATAAAACTGCAACCTAAAGCAAAAATAAATAGCAAAATCATAGCTAAAAGCTAACATTTAGCAGAACAAACAAAACGCTCAAATCTGTGAAACTAAAGCCAAACATGAAAATGACCAAAAACAGAACTTAAAGTTAAATTTAGAAAAAATAAAATGTTAAAAGGAGTTGAACCAAACTAAATGCTAAAATTAACGAAACCATAGTTAACAGCAAATGTTAGCAAACATGCACCAAAAAGCTGAAATTTGCAAATTTGTAGCAAAAAGAAAATAATTACTAAACCACAACTAAAAGATGAACAAATCTGTAGCTAAAAACTAATTTGTGCTCCAAAGCTAGATGCTAAAGTTTGTAAAGCTAAGCTAAAGGCTGAAACCAACAACTGCAGCACAAAATGAGCAAAACCAAAGCTGAAAGCTAAATTTGGCAAAACAAAATAAAGGCTAAAATCAGTTAAACCAAAGCCAAAATTTACATGTAGCAAAGCCTAAGCTAGATGCTAAAATGAGTAAAACCAACTAAAAGCTAAAGCTAACAAAATGTCAGCTAAAAGCAGGTGTTGGTAAAATTGTACCTGAAATTGGAAATTAGCGAAAACGATCAAAACCAACTGAAAGATTTCATAAAACAAGAGCAAAACTTTGAACTGGAGCTAAAATTAAGTTAAATTAAGCTAAGCTGTAGCTAAGAGCAAGAACGTAGCTAAATTGTAGCTAAAAGTAAATATGAGCAAAACCAAAACTAAAAGGTAAAATTAGCATAACTAAATAACAGCTAAAACCACTTTGATAGCTAAAGATAAGTAAAGATAAATTATATAAAAAACTATTTTCTCTTTTCAACAGGCAGAAATATAAGTGAAGTTGTTGGTTCTGCTTCCTTCATGCAGCCTAAAACATAATTTCCTGTTTCATTTGCAGAATATGAAATCATTTTTCTTGCTCGTCTCTGATTCCTCCAGTAGTTTATCTTCGACTAAATCAGAGACAGATTAGATTAGAGACAAATTAGAATAAATTAGAGCAATAAGGGATAAATTACAGACAATAAAAGTTCACCACAGAGACGGATCCCTCGCAGCTGGAAACATTAAAAACACACAAACAGACACTCTTCACACAAACAGACACTCGTCACACAAACAGACACTCTTCACACAAACAGACACTCGTCACACAAACAGACACTCTTCACACAAACAGACACTCGTCACACAAACAGACACTCGTCACACAAACAGACACTCGTCACACAAACAGACACTCGTCACACAAACAGACACTCGTCACACAAATCTCCTGCAGTCTCTTCCTGCCAATAAAAGAGTTTGTTGAAACCTCATCAGATGTCACAGATTACAAGGGCAGCTTTGCCATTTGTTTTCCACGGTCACTGATAATCTAGTTTCACCGACAAAGAACGAGGCGCGCTGCTGCTGGAGACAAATCCCAACAGGTGACAGGAGAGTCAGGATTTAATACGGGAGCAGAGTTTTTTTTTTTTATTGAATCCAGAAGTGAGGCGAGAGGAGCGTCCCCCGAGGAGAGCAGCAGAGCTGAGAAGATTGATTGAGTTTCTTACAAGGCAAAATGCAAAACGTGTTAATAATCTGTCAGAGAACACGCCTGGAAAGAAGCAAGTTCTCATCAAACATGGCTGCTGCTCTCTGCAGGTAAAAACACACAACACCTCCACCTGCTTTGGGAAACAGATTCACTCTGAATCTGAAGCTGAAATGTTTTATTTGAGCTGCTGAAAAAAATGTACAGCAGCAAAGATAAACATAATACTGCCTGGTATCTTCCTAGTACCAGAACCAGGTATTCATTTGGTACATACCTGGTACTTAAAGGGTACAAAACCAACTATTTACCCAGTACATACCTGATATTTACCTACAGGGTACAAAACCAGGTGCATAACTGATACCTACTGGGTAAAAAACTGYCTACTTCCCAACTAWGTACCTCAYATTAACCTGGTATTTTCAYTGTACAWAACCATGTATTTAAAAGGTACATACCTGTCACTACTAGGTACAAAACAATCTACTAGTCAGCTACGTACCTGGTGTTTACCTATACTTACAGGGTACAAAACCAGGTATTTTACTGGTACATAACTGGAGCCAACTGTGTACAGAATGATCTATTTGTCAACTACATCCCTGATATTTACCTGGTACTTGCAGGGTACAAAAACAGGTATTCATCTGGTACATACCTGGTACTTACAAGGTACAAAACCATTTATTTACCCACCTGAAATTTACCTGACACCTACAGGATACAAAACCAGGCGCATAACTACCTACTGGGTACAAAACTGCCTACTTCCCAACTATGTACCTTATATTCACCTGGTATTTTCATTGTACAAAACCACGTATTTAATAGTTACGTGCCTGTTACATACTAGGTACAAAACAATCTACTTGTCAGCTATGTACCTGGTATTTACCTGGTACAGGGTACAAAACCATCTTACATGTACATACAAAATACATATGTGATATTTACCTGGTACTTACAGGGTACAAAATCAGTTTTTTAACTGTTAGGTACTTGGTACATATCTGGTATACGCCTGCTTTGTATCTGCTGCGTATGTTGAACGTAGTTGACACGTACCTGGTGTGTATATAGTAAGTACTGGGTTGTATCACAGTATATATTGCTGCTAAATGTACTGAAGTGGTTTTCTGATGAATATTGTAATTATTACAGCAGCAGCACTTAGCAGCTCTGCTTCAGAGCCCTGAAAGGAAGGCATGAAAAGGCCAGGAAATGTCAGACACACACACACACACACACACACACGCACACACACACACGCACACACACA